TTTCTTAAACGCTAAGGAGATCCTAACACGACAGAAACATGGGAATAATCTTTATTGTTGGGAACCTTAAATGCTTGTTGGCCAATGGTTGTAAACGATCGGTCAAGAAACCTGAACCTGCGTGAGAGAAACACTTTGGTCAGAGGATCATATTTATAGCCGACGGCAATTTATCATGCTAATAAAGGCACTTCAGCTTTTCCATTTTGATCACGCTGTCAAGCACAGACAGAAAACCATAAAGTGAGGCCATTACACGGGAAGGTTTCATGTAAAAATCTGTTATTTCTATCGCTGTCCTGGATACCGTTTTTTGGGGCTCCGTAGCTTTGGCAGTAATCAACAGTGGTGATGGGGGTGGTGGTGGTGATGGTGATGGGGGTGGTGGTGGGGTGGGGAGTGTGAGCATGACTCGTCAAGGACTCAGCCAGACATTTCCGAATTCTTGGCACCTGGCTGAGATGGACAGAACGCATTTTTAAGGGTTCTGTTATTCTACAGTATTGCTGTTTGTTATTAAAAGTTATTTGTTAATAAAAAACATTTTCCAAAAATGTTGGTGTGTTTTCCAAGAATCCAGGCACTGTGAAACAGAAGCACAGAAGTGCAAAAACAACATATACTTGATCCAACATATTTAAGATTTGCAATTAATAAGATTCAAACATATTTATAATTTCTTCATTGTCATCTCTCAGAACTCATATATTGCAGTGGGAAGCCACAGTGTAGCAACCAGGGACCAGCTCAACACTCTTTATTATAATAATAATAAAAAAAGGTTCTTCAAAAGGGTTCTTTAGTAAAGAAAATTGTTCTGTATAGAACCACGAACATGCAAAGAATCCTTTGCGTGATTAAATGGTTCTTCGCATGGCGAAATGGTTCTTCAGACAGAGGAGAATGTGCTGTATATACCTTTTTGAAAAGGGTTCGATATAGCAACAAAAACCGTTCTGCTATTGTTACGATGTGAACCCTTTTTGGTGCTATATAGAACCATTTACAACACATCCTCCATCACCATCAGCTGCAGCAGCTCAACAACATGCGGCTCCAGAGTTGCCTGCGGCTCTTTTACTGTCCTGTTTCGGCTCCACAGCTGAATTAGATTTGTGGGTAAAAATAAAATAATCCTCCTTTACAGTAAAATAAAGCTCTGCTGATCGTTCAACACAGTTTAACAATAAATGGTCTTAAACTCTGGAGTTAATGTAGAACTGCTAATTCACCATTTAACCCTAAAGATCAGCGCAGGCTGCTGGTCACCATAGCAACACAGACAACAGTCTGGCCTAGCCAAGACAAAGAGAGAGATTTAGGACTAACATTGATAATTTGGTGATGAATGGACTTTCATTATCACTCCAGCTGGTTTCCTGATACGTTTAATCTGCTGCGAGAAACTGACAAACACTAAAAAGTCGCAAAGCTGATGTCAGTTTCTTATCCGCCAACTTCTCGTTCAGATTTTCCTGTTCCACCTTAAATGGAGCAGCAGTTACATTCTGGAGCCTCAGGCACTATTTAAGGTGGAACAGGGGAAATTCCAACAAGATGCTGGCGAATGAGAAGCGACTTCAGCCTCGTAAAAAGGCGAATGTTGAAAGACATTTTACGAGAAACTGTTCTATTCTTGAGGAAAAGTTTCCTGCCGGAGATGCGAGAAAAGTGGCCGTAGCTGAGCCAAAGCTTAAAGCAGAGCAAAGTAAGTCTGTATTTTCGTTTATATTGTATTTTATCCTATACTAGTACATCAACACATACTGAGACATATTTACGGCCAAGATGGTAAAATGGACATAAAATGTTGTGGCTCCCAAGGTGGTTTGATTTTTCGTTGAAGGGACAAAACGGCTCTTCTTAATTGGGTTGCCACCACTGGGCTACAGTGATAGCCGTGAAGTGCACACTGTCCCAAAACATTCCAGAGACATTTAATGGGGCAGAACAATAACTGAACAATTAAACACATTTTTCCGTAACTTAGCTAAAAGAGTAATGAGCGTCACTTCCGTTCCCTAATTGGAAAATTTTGGCCATAATATCAAAATACAGCGGTTACTTGAAAAATCAGGTGGACAGAACTCTGTCATGTATTAGTATAGTGAGGACTGAGTTGCGATTTTTGTTGTAAAGGGTCAAATTTATTCTTTTTAATGACCCAAATGTCTTAGCTGATGGACTACATTTGGGCTAAGTGTAGAATTGGATTTTTGGTTGAACTGTCGCTTTAATTTACATGCTAAACACTAAAAGCTCGAGTGGTTTTGCCGCAGGCTGTTTCTACAGTGCCGTCCTGATGGAGACTCGCTCAGAAACTCCACGAAATCAGACCCAATCTGTGCCATGACCCAGCTAGCACTGGAAAATTGGCACCCCACCTGCCTGGCCTCCTGTTTTCCCGCCCACCAGGTTCCAGGCGCCTTGCCAACGCCCTGCTGTCACCTGTTAGCGGTCAGAACCTTCACCTGCTGCTGCTGGCAGGTGGACAGCCGGCTGGGTCACCTGAGCTAAGCCACTTCAGAAGAAAGATGATGCCGGATTAAAAAAGTAGGCTAATCACCAAACATAAAACAGAATCATTAACCTAAACAGGGGTTACTTCAGTTTAACAGATGTTTCTGTGTCGAGACACACTTTAGAGATATTTCTGAATCTCCAGTTAGAATTAAACGCTGGTGAAAACATGTTTTGGTGGTCTTATGTAAGAGCTTGGGGGTTTATGTTGTATGTGAAATCCCGAAAAGCAGCTACAAATATATAGATTTGATTTTATGCTGTTTAAAAACTTTTTGTCCTCCTTTGCTGCAGCAACAGCCTCTACTCTTCTGGAAAGCTTTACACTAGATGTTGGAACATTGCTGTGAGGATTTGATTGAGCATTAGTGAGGTCAGGTACTGACGTTGGATGCTCAGTTCTGGACCTTCCCAAAGGTACTGGATGGCTTTATACCCCTCTAGCCCACTTGGTGACCTAAGACACACGTGCAGTTGCTTCAGAGCGTCTCATTCACATTTTGTTAGGTTGAGGCCTTGTGCTAAAATAAACAGATAAATAAATCAAACAAACAAACAAACAAAACAAACAAGTTGTCCCCATCAGTCTGCACTCAATAGCCCATAATGACAAAGTGAAAACAGACTCTTTGCCATGACACTTGAAATTTAGCTCTGGGGGCTCCCGTTCCTCTTGATCATCTTTGAGATGTTTCTTCCACCTGTGGTAAATTCAGTTGAGTGGACATGATTTATAAAGACACACATCTGTCTATATAAGGTCTCACAGCTGACAATGCATATTAGAGCAAAAACCAAGCCATGAAGAGGAAAGAACTGCCTGAAGAGCTCAGAGACAGGTTTGTGTGGAGGCACAGATCTGGAGAAGGCTACAAAACAGTTCCCAAGAGCACAGTGGCCTCCATAATTCTTAAACAGAAGAAGTTTGGAACAACCAGGACTCTTCCTAGAGCTGGACGCCCCACCAAACTAACAAATCGTGGAAGAAGAGCCTTGGTAAGAGAGGTGACCAAGAACCTGATGATCGCTCTGGCAGAGCTCCAAAAATCCTGAGTGCAGATGGGAGAAACTTCCAGAAGGTCAACCATCGGTGCAGCACTCCACCAGTCTGGGCTTTATGGCAGAGTGGCCAGACAGAAGCCTCTCTTCAGTAAAAGACACATGAAAGCTGCCTGGAGTTTGCAAAAACAGCACCTAAAGGACTCTCAGACTGTGAGAAACAAGATTCTCTGGTCTGATGAAACCAAGATTGAACTTTTTGGCCTCAATTCTAAGCATCGTGTCTGGAGGAAACCAGGTACTGCTCATCACCTGCCCAGTACTATCCCCACAGTGAAGCATGGTGGTGGCAGCATCATGCTGTGGGGTTGTTTTTCAGCAGCTGGGACAGGGAGACTGGCCAGAGTTGAGGGAAAGCTGAATGGAGCAAAGTACAGAGATATTCTTAAAGAAAATCTGATCCAGAGCGCTTGGGACCTCAGACAGGGCCAAAGGTTCACCTTCCAACAACACAATGACCCTAAAGCACACAGCCACGACAACACAGGAGTGGCTTAGGGATGACTCTCTGAATGTCCTTGAGTGGACCAGCCAGAGCCCTGACCTGAACCCAGTCAAACATCTCTGGAGGGACCTGAAAATGGCCGTCCACCGACGGTCTCCTGCCGGATCTGCAGAGAGGAATGGCAGAAAATCCCCAAAGCCAGCTGTGCAAACCTTGTGGCATCAAACCCAAGAAGCCTGGAGGCTGTAATCGGTGCCAAAGGTGCTTCAACTAAGCACTGAGTAAAGGGTTTAAATACTTATATCTGTGCAATATTTTCGTTTTGCTGATTTCCTAAATGAATGGCTCCACAGGGAGGAAAACATAAATAATAAAGCAGTTTTGGTACAATATCTTTTTATGTTTTACATACTGGAAAAAAAAAAACTATATGAAATGTGCTATAACTTTTGCACAGGCCACATTTCATGCTTAATTTTTTCCCTTAATGTGTTAAATTCAGTAAATAAACTAATTTAAATATGCAGAAGCGTGTTACCAAAATTTAATCATGAATTTTAGCATTTCTGTATTTAGTATTAGGTACAGTTTGTCCCTCTTTTGCCTTCATTTTTTCTTCATTACAGTTTGTCCCTCTTTTGCCTCGAGCTGATCCTCCTAAGAGGCGTCTGAACATGAGCTTCACTGGAGATGAGACTAAAAACAAATCTGACCTTTTCTGTACAGAGACCACAACGTGGTCACCGCTACAAATCGTGCAGAATCAAAGATTTCTTGTTTGGCTCATCATGACTTTCATTGTTTCGAATTTTTCTACGACTTTCTGTTGTTTATCTGCAGGATTAAGGGAAAAACATCACAGTCTCAGACCTCTGGACCCCACTGTGCGCACCTGCCGGCGGGTTGTGTGTGTTTGCGTTTGTGTATCTTCTTCTAAGTCCAATATTGCCTGTTCAGGGTCTGAGAAAGTGTTTACCTTCCTGTAAGCGAGCTCGGTGTTATCTGGGCCGTGTGTACTGTGCCAGCCTTTGCTCTTCTCTGCAGCCTCTCTGATCAAACACTGAACGTTATCCTCCAGATACGCGCGATAGTCCACGCGCTCGCCCCGCGCGTTCACCCCGAAACCGTGCAGGGGGAGGGGCTGAGCGTCCGCCGCCACGTACGAGTTACGCGACTGCAGCATCATCTCGTGAGGAATCTGCCGAGAGAGGGAAGAAACGAGCTTTTACAGTCTGTTAGTAAAGAGAACCATTTCACGCTTACATTGTTCTTTGTAAGGTGAAAGCGTTCTTCAAATTGAAGGAGAATGTACTGTAGCACCTTTGAAAATGGTTCTATATCGCATCAAAAAAGGTTTTGCTATTGTTACGATGTCAAGCTTGTGACAGAACCCTTTTGGGTGCTATATAACACATTCTCCATCACTCTAAAGAACCATTTCACCATGGAAAGAACTATTTATTCATGCAAAGGGTCTTTCAGTCACCATGGTTCTAAACACAGAACCATTTTCTTTACTTTTCTCTCTTTACACTCTTAAAAAAAGATCTTCAGTAAAGGGAGTGGCTCTATTTAGAACCATTTCATGCTAAAATTGTTCTTTGCACATTAAAAGCGTTCAGATTGATGGAGAATGTGTTGTAGAACCTTTAAAATGGTTCTATATAGCACTAAAAAGGGCTCTGCTATTGTTACGATGTCAAGCCCAGAACCCTTTTGGTGCTATATACCACATTCTCCATCAATCTGAAGAACCATTTCACCATAAAAGGAACCATTTAATCGTGCAAAGAGTTCTTTCAGTGTTCATGGTTCTACATGAACAATTTTCTTTACTTTTCTCTCTTTACACTCTTAAAAAAGATCTTTAGTAAATGAGTGGTTCTAATTTGAATCATTTCATGCTTGAATTGTTCTTTGCATGGTAAAAGTGTTGAGATTGATGGAGAACGTGTTGTAGAACCTTTGAAAAAGGTTTTATATAGCAGGAAAAAAAGGGTTCTGCTATTGTTACGATGTCAAGCTTGTGACAGAACCCTTTTCAGTGCTATCAACACAATCTCCATCAATCTAAAGAACAGTAAATCATGCAAAGGGTTCTTTGACTGTTCATGGTTCTTTTAGAGCTTTTAGAGGTGGACGTCTGGTTCCAATCACCACCACTGTGAACAGTTCTGACTCGATAAGTTTATCTAGAACAGAGCGTTTCACACCAAACCACTCTGAATGACTTTGTCTACATCTCAACCATTTAATTATGCAGAAACTTGAAAAATGGGTGGAGTTGCCTTTTGTCTACTGATGATCTCCACAATATGGTCAGAAAAGCATAAGGTGAAATATTGTAGAGTAAATTATCACGATAACAATAAATACTGTCATATATTTCACACACATTTTTGCTGCGTCAGTTGCTTTGCAAAACCATCATTAACATCTTTAATCTTTCATATTAATTATTCAGTAATTAACTATGAAATAACTCATTTGTGTTCACATCTTCAGTTCCTCACAAAGTGAATAGGTTAATAAGTCATGATTATGTTCATATGAGTATGAAACACTAATAAGAATAAACGTTTTCAGAGTTATACTTTAGGTAACTTTGCCATCATCTTAATTTTAACATAATTCAGCAGTAATTTTAGTGTAATCTATATGAAACGTTCTCAGAGGTTTATGAATTATATTAGTCTTATAATATGCTTTTTTTTTTTTTAGTGTTTTTGGGTCACCTGGCTCAGAAACACAAACACAGCCAGGAGGATTTATTTCCTCGCTGCTCTGAAACGTCCCAGTTCCAGCACTGAAGATCCACTGTTAATTGTACATTTTCTCGTCTGAGTGTTTTTCTGCACCTGAAAGAGCTTCTTGCACTCCGTGATCATGTGACTCAGGCACTGCGTGGCAGCCATGTTCTCACTCAGGTCCTTGTGGTCAGGTTTGGCTCCTCCTTTCCTGTTGATCAACCTGTGAGCACAAACAACAAGACCAATACAGTAAGCAAACAAACAAACAAACAAACAAACAAACAAAAGCACTTCCAGGAGAATATTCTCAGAGCCTGGCGCTCATTCAACAGCAAGAGTGTTGTCCACTTTAAGCCCATGTTAATAAATTCACACTGCATGTTTTTTTAAATATAGCATGAAAGTTTTTAAACAATTTTTTTTTCCCACCAATCCTATGAACGATTCATTTGTGCAGGCAGCATTTGGAGCTACGCAGTGCATGGAATTTAAAACTACACTACTGATTTGCTGTTTTTGGCTGAAACTACAGTCGACGATCAAAACTAGGCATCAGGGTGGAGCCTATTAGAGTGAAGTGGGCAGGAGGTGGGGCTTATTCTATGGACACCCCCTGCTCAAATGACTGGGCTTTAAAATTCTGGGCTTATAAATTGGGTTGTGATTTTTGGGGTTAATTTTGTTAAAGGGTGGAAAAGTTCTACTGGAGAACCTAGTCTATATATG